AGATCCCGGGGGGCACCAAACCCACGCACCAGGGCCGCTGGCAAAGGAGATGGACGAGGAGCGGAAGCCCAATCCGAGCCGACCAGCCACACCGCTGCGGCCATGGGGAGATCGAGAGCCCAGCAACGCGCAGTTCCTTCGTTAGCTTCCCCTCCACGCGGCGCTGCACGCCTCGGAAAATAAGTTAGCAAACGGGGAGCCGTTTATCTCTTTTATCTTGGGGCCTGATCCAATTAAATAAGTGCACATTTACATTTGCATCCATCAGGCGGGAGCGTTAAGAGCCCGGGGTTTGCTCGGAGCAAATAAAAGCAGATTTCACTGGGAAAAGTGGCGTCTGGGCGCGAGCTCGTGCGGGCGCCAGAAACGCACACCGCCCGGCAGGCGGCCTTTGGGGACTCACGGTTGGGGCTTTCGCACTTTGGAGGCCAGAGACTCCCCCAAACCCTGGAGAGGCCCGTCAATGCAGGGATGGGGTGGGGGGGGGTGTTTGCAACCAAACCTGTTAGGCCACAACCTGGGCCCCGCCTCGTGCTGGGGACCCAAGTCACTTTGGGCAAGAAACGAAAAGTAGGCCAGCTCTGGCCGGGTTGCAAAGACAGACCCTCGGGCTGGGCCTGAAGGCAGTGGCCCAGCTTTGGACACTGTGGGGGGAGGGCAGGCGGCAAGGGCCCAGGCAGACCCGATAATTCCTCCTATTCAGTGAGGAGGGGCGCGAAGAGCCAGGGCGAGAGTGCGCTTGGGATTTTCTCCAGTATCCCTGCACCAGGGAAGACCAGTTGATGTTACCGGTTAGCGCTTTCTAGAGGGGTGAAGGGGGCGCCCAGGTGTGCACCTCCGAGTTTGCCGTTCCGACCTCAGTCAAGGTGCGTTCGAAATAGGAGGGTTTGCAGCTTTGGGGGGAAGTTTTGTTTTTGTTTTTCCTTTTCTATAGATGTCCAACCCGCAGGGCAACAGACAAAAACGGCCTTCAGGGGCGCGGTTGTGGGGTAGACCCCGGATATGCCAAACCTCAAATTAAACAGAACCGCGAGGGGTCGGGAGCCGGGTGGAAAAAGCGAGCAGAAACCCAAGTGCTTACACCTCCAGCGGAGAGAGAGCGGCGGCTCCCCGCCGGGGCGGCGCGGGGCTGCGGCCCCTACCTGAGGCTGCTGCAGCCGTCGGCTTATTTCTCAACTGCCTGCCTCCCGGTTTTTGAGTCTGTGCCTAAGTGGTGGCAGGAATCGTCGGATTAAAACTGCTCGTCGCGGGCCCTGCTCTGCAAATCCCGCGGACTAAGTGGTGCGGGGTCCCGGGCCGCAGCGAGTGCTGTGGTGTATGTGGCATTTTGAGTTTGGCCAACTTGGGGTTCAGAGTTAAGTCCCGTCTGTGGTTGGGGGGCATCACCCGGTCTAGCCTAACTCCTCCTCTCCGCGAACCGCGTGGCGCCCCGGAACCAGTAGGCGGCGCCCTTCCTGAACTGCAGCCGCGTCGGGCTCACTCCTGGGAACGCAACCACATTCCTTTCACTTTGGTTAATTCGCGAAGCTCTATTCCGTTTCTCTGCCAGAGTTGGCTGGTAGTGGTGGGGACAGGTGGGCCGCGAGGCAAGGCAAGAGCCGAACCCGCACGCACGACCCCACCCCGCTCCTTCCAGGCTCCCAGAGCTGCAAGCCGCAACTGGAATGAGAGGACCCTGGGGATTTGCAAACCCCGAGGCCTCGAAGCAGGCCCCGCAGCCCCGGCCAGAGAACATTTAGGGACCTGGCACGAGGAGCAGGAAGGAGAGAGACCCCGTTAGCACTCTCCCTCCAATGATTGCGTGTGCGCCCTCGGGAAACAGCCTGATTCTCTGCTCGGTCCCGGGTTTGGCGCAGCCTCAGGGGACTGTCCACTTAGACCCCGTTCAACGATCTGGCCACCTCAGTGTCCAGGGGGGCAGCGCCTCTCAGTCCCTAAATGACATACTAGTTGCTCCTTGGGCACGGGAACCAGAACAGGAGCCAAGCGCAGGTGGGAAACGCCAGCGCAGCCCAAGCACCGAGCCTTCTAGCGCCCCAGCGCGAGCCCGCAAACAAACCCCGACCCTAACTCACACAGGAAAATTTCCCGCAGCGCCTCCAAGACGCATCATCTCCAAGATGGCCCAAGACGCGGCCAAGCGGAGGCTCCAAAAGGGATTTGCACAGACGCGCAACGACTTCTGGGGCCGAATGCGGGAGACATTTCCTAAACCCCCGAACCCCGATCAGTCCGGCAGGCGGTCGCCAAGCTGGAAAGGCTGTGGACACCAAAAAACCACGAGTCACCGAAACCCAGCTCTGCAAAGAAGAAAACCCCAAACTTAATTGAGGGTTTGCACGAAAGACGAAGGACGCAAAGAAAGCCTGCCGAGGGGCGAGGGGAATGCGGGCCCGGCAGCCACTCCCGCACCGCATTCCAGCGCCCGGCCGGCTTTCTCCCCAGCCTGGAAGCAGCCGGGAGTTGGGGAGCAAAGCCGAGCGGGCTCCATGGAGCGCAGTTCGCGTTCCCAGGCAGCCCCGCGGGCATTCGGCTCCCGGCCCGGAGCCACAGCAGTCACACTCCGGAGGCCCGCGCCGAGTATTTGCATATTCCCGGGAACACAGGGAGGCCTGCAATTTTCTTTTTAAAATCGTTGGGCAGGTTTTAGGGCCAGAGCTTCCAAAACCCCGCAGAGTTGATGTCGTTCTTAAACTCCCTCCTAAGAGAAGGGGACTGGCCTATTCTTCTGACTTTTGTAGGCGAGAGGCAGACTCCTGGGGCTGCATATTCAACGGGGTGGAGGGGGGAGCTGATTGTGAACCGGGCGGTGGGGGTGGGGGCTGGGGCTCGGGGTAGGGCGAGTCATCTCTGGAATTCAATTGTTTAAAAAAATCATTTATAATTAAAGGGACAAAATAAAATACGATCGTCTCATGCATATTTAATCGTTCACACTTCCAGCTTTGAAACCATGTCCCTGCGTGAATTTTCTCACTAATTTAAACTCTGAAGTCGACTGCTGTTCGCGAAAAACATCTGGACAATACAGCTTTCAAACTTGTTTAAATTCGAATCAGCTAAAGGAGCTCCGTTGCCGTCGCAAAAACTGTAAAAGCAAAAACTCCTAGGAAAGTTGGGGGGGGGAGATGTTGAGAAAACCAAGGAAGGTTAAAGTAATCTTGAGTAGAAATGCAAATATGTGCATTTTGATTTAGCCTAATTAAACCGGTGTTATGTGCAAACACATTCTCTCTACGCTCAGCTTGGGTTTAATAGAGCAAATGAATTCCTCTCGCTGGAGTATGTTTTTGCTGGAGACCCTCCCCTCCCCCGACCACCGAAAATTTCCCACGAAGTAAAACACAGGACAGTGCCACATCCTCTCAAAATGGAGACGCACGCACCGGCACTGGCGGCCTCCGCGCAGGGGACTGAGGCGTATCCTGACTTTTGATTTGAGTTAGCATATGCCGGATTCATAGGAGAACGGAAACCTCGGAAATACTTTCAGAGCGACTCTGACACTCTCAGATAAAGGGCAAATGCAACAAGCCAGATTGGGTCCACCATGGTATCATCTAGGCAAATGGCCTCGAAATTTCCAAGGCCTCTCTACCAAAAAGGGTGCTCCCCCCCATTCCCTCCAGGGGTGTGGGGCTGAGGACCGAGAGAGGCTCTGCTGTCGGCCTGGGTTGCCCACAGTTTACCCCCAGCACCGTGGCACTGCCTCACCCACTTCCAGCCCACTCTCCCATCCCCGGCTCTGCCAAGTGCAAGCTTGAAATTCAGGACAAGTGTGACACCTACCTGTGACGGGGGGAACGGTCCCCTCTTCGGTCTTGCGGCCCCAGCCCTGTATCCAGCCTGCCGCCTACCACCCCAACTGTCGCGGATGGAACATTTACTAATTTAATCAAATCCAACGAAGAGATCAACGCCCAATTTTGAAGGGGTAGAGAAGGCAGTGCCTTGGGAAAGCCTTCTCCTTGGCATCCCCAAAGCTCCCCGCCCGCATTAGCCCACAGCACCTTTGAAATAGTAATAAGGGCTAAATCCGGCATAAAATCGAACTCATTAGCAAAGTTCACCAGCTGATTGCTTTGCATAAAACACGACACTGATTGGAAGTAATTAGGTTAAGCGATGGCGCTGGGGTGGTTCCTGTCGCTAGCTGGCTTTGCCATCCTTTCTCCCTTCTGGGCACACATTTGGGTCTCTCCTCCTTCCTCCAGGGTCCAGGCTCTCCCTAGCAGTCCCAACCCGGAGTCTCTATCTGCATTCAGGGCACAGCCAGGCTCCCTGGGGCTGGCAGCCTAATTATGGGTTCCCCCTGGCACACACAGCTCTCGTATCACCTTTCATTCCCCACTTTGGAAAAGAAGTTGCAGTTTGCACCTTTTGTCTCAGGCGATGGACAGTTTATTGAGGCTTCTAAAAAGTAATGAGTGGCTCTGATTATGTTAAAATCTCTTTTAATTAAATATCTTGCATTTTACAAAGGCGGCTGCAGTTTCGTTTATTTTTTTTAAATCTAAGAGTATAACCTGTTTCCTTTCTGTAATAATACTTTAGCTCAGACCCAGAAAAATCAATAGGTGTAAAAAATTAAATTAAACTTGTATTTTTAAACTATGAAACACTTTTTGGGGGGGGACACAAATGTATATATTTATATTACAAAAAACCATTAAATGCCTGTACAGGTGTCTTATTTTCATAATTTACTTCAAAGATATTGAATTATCAATTTAAATACAAAAATGCTACATTAAATATACAGAATAAGATTTAATACAAATCCTTTTTTTAAATTTTCCTTTTCCGCTGGTTAAGACATTTTTGTGTGTGTGGAGATGTTTACATTTTTATGCCATCCATCTCCATGACCTATAAACTTTTTAATAGGAGGGGAAGTTTTTTTCTCTCTCTCTTGATGGAAAAATAACTGCCAAGGCCATGTGTTTAAATAAATTAGCGAGTCCGGGACCCACGCAGCCCGCGTTAAATGTCGGACATACCTTTCTTCAATTCATAGGGAGAGTCTTTGCTCGGGTCTAGCTGGGGCTGGCTCAGCAACATTTTCGGGTCTTTAGCCAAAGCGTCCGCTCGGTTCAACACGGTCTGGTTTAATCCATTGAAATGCGAGCTCGGACCGGTTGTGGGGCCTGGCCCGGGCCCGGGGTGGCCATGAAGGTGTCCGAAGGAGCCATAGTTCGTGTAGCCTGGGTAGAAGGGCGCCGTGTAATACAGAGGCCTGGACAGCACTGTCCCGCCCGGGAAGGGACAGGGCGCCGATGGGGAGCGGGATGGCGCCGGGGCAGGCGACGTGCGGCTGCCTGCTAGGGCTTGCCCAGCTCCCGGGCCGGGGCACGGCGGGCACGGAGAGCCCTCGCTCCCACCGCCCCCGTCTTTGACCTTGTCCGAGGAGGTGGCGATCTCTGCCAGAGACCACAGTTTGGGCTTGGCGAGCACCGCCTGCGGAGGCGGCGGAGGCGGCGAGTGGATGACCGAGGGCCCTCCGGGACCCGGGGGCAGCTCTCCCGCGGCCGGGTGCGGGCCGGGAGCCGGCGCGCCCGCGGAATAGTGAGGGGCCGAGTCCTCCGCCAGCCGCGCCGCCGCCGGCCCGGCCGGGGAGGGCCCGCCAGCGCGAGGGGGAACCGGCAGGGCGTCCAGGCGGCCCTCGGACGGCGGCTCCTTAAAATCCGAGTCGCTGAGGCTGCCCTCTGTCTCCTTGCCCGCGGGGGTGGGCGGCCCCTGCAGTCGTTCGCAGCCGGAAGCGGCCTTCTGCTCCGCTCCTCCTGCGGACAAAACCGCGGTGGTCAGAGGCACCGAGGCGGCGTGCTGGGGCCCAGGACCCCGCCCGCAGGGGCAAAGACCCCGGTCCCCAACCTCCAGGCCCTGCTCGGCACCAGCCCCCCTCCCGCCAGGCCTCCATTTGCCTTCTAATTCCCGCTGACCGCCACCTTTCCTCGCCCACCAACCTGCTTCCAGTCCCTCTGGGTCGACCTTGTCTTCGGGCTTCTGGGGCTCATCCTCGTCGTTTTTTTCTAGATCAATGTTCTCCTCCTCCTCCTCGTCCTCGCTGCGGTTTCTCGGAGTCCACGTCATCTTGTTCTCCTTCTTGAGGCGCCGGCGCGCGTTGGCGAACCAGGTGGACACCTGGGTGAGGGTCATCTTGGTGATGATGGCCAGCATGATCTTCTCGCCCTTGGTGGGGTAGGGGTTCTTGCGGTGCTCGTTGAGCCAGGCCTTGAGTGTGGCGGTGGCATCTCGCGTGGCGTTCTTCCGGTATGCGGGGTCCCCGTAAGGATAAGAGCCCAGGGGCGCCGCGTAAGGGTGGTACCCCAAGGAGCCGGCCATGCCTGGTGTATGGTCGTAGGGAGAGCCCTGCGGGGAAGGCAGAGAGAAGGTGAGGGTGGCTCTGGGTCCCCACTGCTACTCTGGCGACCGAACCGCGCTTTCCCGTGCCCCGCGGTCTGCAGGGAGGGAGGTCAAGCTCCTTCTTCCCCTAGGGGAGAGCTGCCGGCTCAGCCCCAAGGGCGACCCCTCCCCCTTCTCAGAAGGCAGCTGGGGCGCCAACTCCCGACGAGGGTCCTCCTGGGGGTCCCTCAAGCCTTCCCGGCCTGGGCGCCACCCTGTAGGCCCTCGTCCCTTCCCCTGGGCAGGTCCGTCCCGCGTCGGCAGCTTCGGCCACCTCGGCTAGGCCCTCCACCCAGGGACGCCTGGGCAATACTCTGCGCTCGGCGCCGGGACGGCTGCAGTTAGGGCGCAAGGTGGTAGATCTGGGGAAGCCTAGGCAGTTTTCCTCCCGGAGAAGCGCAAGCCCAAAGCTAACCCGGGCCCCCGCACTCCCACCCCTCTAAAGATGTTTCTCAAAACCCAGCCACAGCGCTTTTCCAGAAAGTGCAGCGGGCCGAAAAATCCCGGATGCACCGCAGCTCCTCTGACTTTTCAGAAATTTAATACCGCCAAATCGGATTGCGAAGATAGGATTACGGATTTGCAACATTTTGGAGAACTAATTAAAGGCGAGGACAAATACATTTGCATAGACTTAGCACCCTTCTGCTCAGGTTTCAGGTCTGTTTCTTTCGGGCTACTTTTCCAAACTAGCAAAACCAGATTTAAAAAGCAAAATAAATTTTGCGGGGCGGCCTGGAGATCACGCTGGAACCAAA